CAGGGTTGTCTCCACCTGTGTCTCAAAGGCACACAGTATTGTGAGAAGATAAAAAAAAATGGGAAATCCTGCATGCTGGCCCCTGAATTTGACACATAGGTGAAGAAGAGAAACCTCTTTTCCATTTCCATGGCTCAAAATTTAATCTGTACACGTTTGCCATCACATTACACCCTTTCCATGAAGCTGACTCACCAGTCCAGGAACACACTGTTCTCCCTCCTGAGAGCACCCCTGGGAGAGAGCAGGCTGTGGGCAACTTTATACATAAAAACTAACCAAAAATAGCAACTAATTACAGTGATGTGGCAGTCAAGGATTTTAACTCTCTTCCTTGTAACATTAAGTCTGCTCTCTGAACAGTATTCATAACAAAGAGTTTCATATCCTTGGTTTGACACACAGAAGACCAAATTATACCACTGTTTTGAGAAAGACAATGGCACTACGTGATGTTGGATAGAAGAGCCTAGATTTTTTAATTCCAGAATCCCTCCCCCCCTTATCTCTACTAGACCCAAACCGTTGAAGGAGAAAAGACACATATTCTATTTTAATGCATATTCCCACACAGGAAGCCTTTCACAGACAAAGGAACTTTGATTAAAATTCTCAATATTGTCTAGAGATCATCCACATCAGAGCAAAATCCAACTAAAATTAGGTCATAGTCTCAGTCCTTCTGTACCTGCCAACAGTCTGCCAAACGGTTCCGATGATCAACACATGATCCAAGGAGTCTTCAGCCCTGTCAGACACTGACCCAGGAATTCCCAAAGCAGTTCCTTCTTACCTTGACAGCACAAGGCTGAAGTGCTCAGGAGCCGTGACTGGTGACAGAATAAAAATGCAGAGGCACTGCTGCTTATTCACATACCAGTTAAAAAATAGTGTTCCTTCTTTTAAAAAGTACTTAAAAAATGAAATGTCTCGGGTCCTCCACTTTGTGATTAAGTTAAATTTGCTTCTTTGCAGGTTGTAGCAATAAAGCATTAGAAGTCATAGTAATAATCCAGCTTTGCATCCACAGTTTTACATCCTTTATCTGAATAAATTCTCTCCTCTCTGGGAAAGTAGGTCATCTCGTCGGCTATTCTGGTTAAAATGTCTTCATCCACAGCGTAGCCACGTGATTCAACCTCAACCCTGACACACATTTTCACATGTTTGTATTCCAGAGGCAGGAAAGGGATAAAGTAGTCAATGAGATTTTTATCAATCAAAGTGCTGTGCCAAAACCCACCTGCAAAGGGAAAAAGAGGCTTGTTACTGCTCCTCTAGTTCAACACTACATGGAAGAGGCACATCACAGCCCTCTGCTGCACACCATCACTTCATCTCACTGCAGGCCCCAAAACTGCATCGTGGCTCCTCACAAGCCAAAAACTGGAGGCCACATCGAGTAGAAACCACAGCTGTAAAAATGCAGCTAAGTACAGACCATCCCTTCTGTGTAACCTTTACCCTCTCAGAAGCAATCCCAGCTTTACTCACTGTTTTTGTTGTTGAAGACAGACACAGACAGTGCATTTTGGATGTCTGTGAGCTGTATGTCTTCCCTCGTCCTCCCCTTTCTCCAGAAATCTAGTGCCACCTCTGTTATCTTTTCAGCTCCTGCGTTGCTAAATGAAGAGAAAACAAAGATTGTAGCTGGGGGTAGTTTTAAAAGGCAGTGAGTGCACAGAGCTGCAAACCTGAGAAGGCACTTCTTACCTGAGGAAGATGAAGATGGCCTGTCTATAAGACACCCCATCCAACAGCTCATAGTAGTCCAGGAAGGGCTTGATTGAGTCAATGAGTCCCGCGTGCATTTTATCCATTTCATCAAAGATGAAGAGGGATCTGGGACAGATGCTCACATTTCCCCGGATCCACGACTGCAGCTGGTCCTGAGTGCCATAAAAATGAAAGATGCTGGATGAGTTTGTGTTCAAAAGACAGAAAATAGCACTTATGTTTACTGAACTTTGCCCTGAAAGAGTTATTTCAGTGGTTTCATTTTAACAGCTCTGTCTTCTTGACAAAAATTAAAAGTTGTAAGTGAAACTTTTAACAAAATCCCGTGCTGGTTCTGAAAAATCTTAAGGCACCAAGAGACAGGATGGGACAAGCAGGAAATCTCCTTGTGAGAAAGATATTCCTATATAAAGCAAAAATTAAAGTGCACAGCAGGACAAAGGATGGGTCCCACCAAGGAACAGCCCCACAAAACAAAGCTCACTTAAGCATTGCATTTTTCTCTCACCTAAGTGTTGCATTCGAGATCATTAATGAATTAATTGGGGAAAAAAAGGAGTTGATCTGTCTTGACTATTTTCAATGATTCATCACTTTTTTATATTCACTGTTTAGTCAGTCCCTGAACTGCAGGTGTTAAGGAGCAGTCACTACAGGTAATAAGTAGCAATAGGTTTCTCCTACTGCCTCGGGCAGCAAGCTTCCCAAGCTTATTCACCTCAAAAAAAAAGCAGAAAAGCTTCCATTTTATTTTAAAACAGCTCAGCTACAAGAAGAGGAAAAATAAGCTGTAAAAGAGGAAACATCTATTTCCTCCATTTAGAAATGAAGTTTGTAGCCCATCCTGTTCCCATTTTAAAGATATACAAACTGAATATAAACATGCAGTACTACAAGACAGTGGTACTCATTCAAACTCTGCTGTTAACAAAGTTAGAACAAAAAAACCCAGAAAATATGCATTTGAGCTACTCCTCCACAAAATCCCCCTGCCCAGAGAACTGCAGTGACCCCACAAGGTGACACAACAATTCCAAGTACATTTATCTGTACCTCTCTGACAACGTAATATCTTGTGATTTCACTTTACAGCTGGGAAATGGATCCACAGAAAACTAAACAAGCTGCTCAGTGTGCAGCAGAACTGACAGAAAGGTACACCAGTGCCTCAGAGATCAAACTTCAGCTTGCTGTGGTGCCTGACACACCTGGAGGTCACTGGGTTGTTCCCCAGAGTCATGAGCTATTGGGGTTTTTTTGCATTGCCCACCAACATATCACCTAACCGTGAATCGTGTTTATCCTTAACTCTCTCTACGCAAACTGTAGAATGAAAATTAAACCGCATCATTCTTTCCTAAAGAGAGGCTCAAAACACGTGAAAAACCTTTACAGTCACGGGAAAACCAGTCCTGATGGATGTAAGGATTCACCCCGTTCTGTGCTGAAGACTCCAAAACAGGCACGGGATACATGTTACTGCACAAAATAACGCCTAGGTCAGTAGTACTGATCATGCCATGACATTTATAACCCAGGGCAGCAGAGCATACTCTTACCTTGTAGAGATTGATGCTGTGAGCGTGAGGAAAGTGCAAAGTTGAGACGAACTGATGGACGTATTTACTCTGCAGGCCTTTTTTATAAATGCTCTCGGCGACGATCTTACTGACAAAGTTCTTGCCTGTCCCAGTCCACCCGTGCAAGGAGAGCGCCAGGGGCTTTTTGGCGTTGGTGTTGTTCAAGAAGCCCCTCACGGCTTTCACAACCACCTTGCTCACCAGGTGCTGCCCGAACAGCCTCTTGTCCAAGGTCTCCTGCAGAGCTGGATGGAGAGACCACACGGTGAGCGGTGGGCGAGGGGTCACCCCGCGCGGTGCGGCGGCCGCAGCCCCGGGCAGGGGGCAAAGGGCCGGGCCGGGCTGGAGCGGCGGCCCCCGGGGAGGCTCCGCCCGGCTCCCGGCGCCGCTGCCCCCGCGGCGCCCTCCCGCCACCTCCCCTCAGAGCCCGCCCCGGCCCCGCACCGGCGGCGGCGCGCTGGTCGTGCCGGTGGAGGCAGCACTCCCTGAAGTAGCAGTAGAGCCGCGGGTAGGAGATGAAGCCGGTGAGGGCGGAGGCGGCGGCGCCCGCGATGGCGAGCCCCAGGCTGATGGGCTCCACGGCGCCGGCCGGCGGGAGGAGCAGCAGCAGCGCCAGGGCCGCCCGCAGCGCGCCCCGCCGCAGCTTCATGGCCCGCCCGGCCCCGCCGCCGCCCCGCCGCTTCCGCCCCTCGGCGCCGCTTCCGTCGCCGCCATGGCGGGTGTGGGAGAGGCGGGGCCGGCGCTGAGGGGCGGCCGCCATGTTTGGGCGGGAATGGGCGGGGCCGGCGCTGAGGGGCGGCCGCCATGTTTGGGCGGGAATGGGCGGGGCCGGCGCTGAGGGGCGGCCGCCATGTTTGGGGGGGCACTCGCCGCTGTCACCGGCTGCGCGGCGGCCTCGCGTGGTGGAGTTATTAAATGTTACACTCTGTGGCCGTGTGTTAAGAGTCATGAAATCATAGACTTGTCAAGGTTGGAAGAGACTGTTAAGATCGTCAAGTCCAATTGTCAACCCAGTACTACCACTGTAACCCCTACACCACATCAGCAGCACCCAGATGCCGACACCTCTTAATCCAGGGTTGGTGACTCCACCACTTCCCTGAGCAACCTATTCCAAGACGACCTTAAAGTTGAAATTTTTTTTCCTAGTATCCAGTCTAAATCTCCCAAGGCTCCCTGTCCAAGGGATCCACCTGCACGGGCTAAGGGATAAAGTCACCTATGGCCAGGCTCTGGGACAAACTCATCCATACCCTGGCAGACAGACTTTTCTGAAAAAGATGCAAAATCTGATCTTGTCCCTTCTCACCCTGAAGTTGCCACTCCTGAGTTGACAGGACACTCTGGCCCTCAGCACCACCAGCACCCACAAACCATCCGCAAGGATCCCAGAGGGAAAAATGTCACTTCTAATAACTTAAAAACACTTTTGCTATTTTCAAAGTTACAAATCTTCACTACAAGTACCCACATTGCACCTCCAGGGAAGACATGGTGCAGCCAGCTGTGGCCTCTGCACCAGCTATATATTTTAAATATAAAGCTCCCAAGAGCTTTACATTTATAAATCAAATAGCGCTGCTGCTTTTAAAGGATCTGATTTTTTTAAGTACTTTTAAGAGGGTGAAAAAAATCTATAAAAGCAAGTTTGTTTTCTCACTAAAAAATGCCAACCATGAAAGCTCATTTTCCATTATAAAAGTATTTATAAGAACATAGTTATATACAAGGTTTCACTGACCAAAGAGTTCACAATCATCTGCAAACTGATTCACTACAAGATCACACAGGAAAAGCTTCGTAGGTAACATCAGCATGTGAAGGTAGTGACTCTTCTCAAAATCCATCGCAGCTCACAGACACAAAATCCTTTATAAGTGGAAAATCCAAACAACTCAAAAGGCTTCAGTCCACGTTCATTAGTATCGCCTGTTCATCTTCTTGAACTTCTCATAGTGATAATCATCTGTGGCTTTTTCATTGAGGGGACGTTTGCGATTTGGAGGAGACCCTTCAAAAGAGAGAGAAGGAAATATTATTTCCCTGTCCTTTGACAGAAGACCTTGTCTTAACCCCACCACTTCCCTTATACAGCCCCTTGCTATGTAAGGTTATTGCTTCAGCTGTCACTGCTCCCCAACCTTGCACCCTTTGCTGTTCTGGCTTCCACCAAACCCTTCTCAGACAGCTTTGCCAACATGCTTGAGCTGTGACCTTCACTACTCCACCCCTGAGCTTCTCTAAAAACATCCTCCATCCAGAGGGGCTTCAGGTGTGACCTGGCAGTGGTACATCAAGCGCAAACAACCAGCTCTCTTGGACTTGGATTGCTCCATTTCCCTCCTAGCTCAGGGCATCCAGAGGAGGTAAAAAGACCCAGATCCTTTCTCTGTTGCCCTGAAGAGTTTCAGTGTATCTCCTTACAGCCTTTCAGAACTTACGCTCAGGTTCTGGTCTCTCGGTATCCCCCACTCTCAGGGGACGGGGCTTTGGCTCCTCTTTGTTCCTTCGCACTGGTGCGTTCAGCTCCTCATGATAAACTGAGAGAAGGAAAACATCAGGTAAGGAATATTATCTGGAGCACTCTTATCCAGATGGACAAATTTCTATGGCATTTGTTACAAGTGATCTTTAGCAGAAACAACAGCAGCTTAGAACAAGCATTCTTGGAATTGGGTTTCTATGGATAATCAATACAGGCAAGATGGAGTACAGCAAATTTCAGTAGCACTATTTCATCAGAAGTGGCCCAAACACTCCTCACTTCCTTTAGAACACACCAACCTGACCCCCAGTCACCCCTGTGAGCATGGAAGGACACAGCAGAAGGCTGCCTTTCCTCCAGATGGCTGTGGTATGAGAGGCTCTCCCGGAAATTAATTCCCTTCTCCTGTCTAGTAAGGTCTGTGGCCACCTCTCTGCTCTGGCAGCCTAAAACATGGACCCTTTCCACTATAAACCAGCATTTATCATCCCAGACAGGGCAGGCATTTCCAACACACGCTCAAGGCACAACTTAAAGAAAACATCTTGAAATTTATGAGTTGCTGCCAGCTGGGAGTTCAGAAAGTTCAGCCATGAGAATGAGCAATGAGAGTCCCTCTTCTTGCTGACAGGAAGAAGAAAAAGACCAGGCCAGATGTGGTCTATATGAGCATCCCAGGAAAAGCAATTGTGGAGCTGCTTGTGCCAACACACAGACTCTGCATCAGACTCTGTCCCAGCCAGGTCAGGAGAACTACATAAGACTTACATCTGTTGTGCTGGACATAATTAACAGCCATGTTGGTGGGAACAAAGGAAGTTTCGCTGTCTTTCTTCTTGTTCTGCTGCTCTGCCAGCAGCTTGGCCTTGGCCTCTTCAGTTGAGATGATGTTTTTTATTTTTGCACTAGAAGAGAAAGAAAGAAAAAATACTCATAGTTAGAAGGGATAGCAGGCACAGAAGTGCTAAGTGGATGGGTTTGGGGGGTAGTAACAGCACTGCCATGGTACTGTTACATGGTACATGTGTTTTTGGAGAGAGGAGGCATTGCTATAGAAACAGGTGCTTCGTTTCAAGGCAAAAGGGAAGCTCCCATCTTTGTGCATCCATTCAGTGCAGGGCACAAACGGGTCCTCCAGAAAGCTGCCAGAGTCAGGTCACAAAAATTAAGAGCCTTTTCCCACAGGTCACACAGTGGAGCTGCACTGAGCCCTGTCGCTGTGCTGTGCTAGTTACCACAATAATCCAAAGCAATTCTCAGTCCCACCCCACAGCCAAACTGGGGCTGTGTAATCCACCCACAGTGCTGCTCTGCCAACCAACAGCTGCTTATCCTGGAAATTCTGGCCATAACCCCCAGATCTGTGAACCACATACTCAATTCCCAGGTCCACTTCAGGAATGCCACTCAGCATCTGGTTGGACAGCATCTCCTCAGTCTTCTTGGCAGAGGAGACACGGATGTTCTCTGGCAGCTCGTACAGAGAGTCCTCAGCGTTCTTAAGCTTCACCTTCTGCTCCTCATTCTCCACAATCCCCTTTCTCTTCTTCAGCTCAGTCTCAATGTACTTCATCCTAAACAGCAGCACATGAAGGACACACAGCATTTAATTCTGTGCCTGTACTCCATCCCAGCCCTGCTGAGCACAGCTGCATCCCTGTCCTGAAAGCTGGGGCAGAAGAGAGTAATCTCTCCAAAAGAACTCAGCTAACATCAACAGTAAGAATTAATTGTCCAAGAAACAATCAGATCCTCCAAGCTCTTTCACAGCCATCAGGGAAGGCTCCCACTGGGATTTAATGTCAAGCTGGCTGGTTGGCACCTCCCTGCTCTGTCCATGAAAAAGCCTTCTCAAGTCTGGCATGCAGGAAGTGAAAGGGTGAGGGAAAGTTTCAGTGAGAACTGGGAAGATATTCTGGGAGTACTCAGAATCCAAGACAGAAAAAAATAAATGGTGAGGGACTACCCAGGCCAGTTCAACACCAGAGACACAGCACAACTCACATGTCAGCATCTTCATCCCGCCTGTTGGTTTCTGCTGAGAAGGAAGTTCCCAAGTTCAGATCTTCCTCTTCATTAATCCTAAGTGGAAACCACAATGTTTACAGGGTTTGGTGGGGTTTTTTTGTTTGTTGATTGTTTTTTTTGGGAGGTAGGTGTGGGGTTTTTTTTAAACTAATTTAACATGTTAGGGTAAAAATAACTGGCCAAACTGCGTTATATTAAACTCTCTAAAGTGACACGACATCTGGTTAGTTCATTACCAGCTGTCATTTAACACTAGTCCAGAGACAGATTTTCAGAGCTCACATGCACCCACCTGTCCTTGCCTCTTTCCTTCAGCTTCTTCATGTCCACCATTCCCCCGGATTTTATCTTAAATGGGTCATCCTGTAAACCAAGACACAACAAGAAACCCTGAAGCTTCCCTCTAGTTTAATGCTAATCTTCAAAATCTGGACGAAAGCACAGAAAACATTTAGGAACTGAGCTGTGACATCAGTCCCACCCCAGGCCAGACTCACAGTCACTGGCTAGACCACAGCAATGTCTTCACACCATCACATCTTAGCCCCGAGGAGATGGAAGTGCCCAGCACTTACCACAAGTGTTGCTTCTTCTTGCAACTTCTCTCCCACAAGCAGAGCTACAGCACTGGTCAGGCAGATAAGGAAAGAAAACGGAATTCAGTGGAAGGAAACATATTACCAACAATACTGCATTGCTTTATCCTTCTCTAAGTCTCCCCCTCTTTTCCACCCTCAGGCTTTAACATGGAAACTGCTCTATCAGGAACATGGTTTTCCAGTATCTGACATGTAATGGTTTGTACGGAAGGAGGCAGATGACGAGAGAAATTCACTGTTACATCACACCCTCAGACAAAGCACAACTTCCCATCCCTTACCTCACCCCATTGGGTCGCTTTCTGAGGCTCTGAACTTCTTTGGCTTCCTCAAGTTTTAACCTGAATAAAAAAATACATTTGACTTAGTACTTAATGCCTTGGTTTTAATTAATTATTTTGATTTTCTGCAGTTAACACAGAATTTTCTAGTCGGACTTTGCCCTAAACCTCTGCATATCAGCATCCACTTTTCAGGTTAAATAGGTATTTTCTATTTATTTGAAAAATTCCATGTATTTAATCAATCAGAAAAAAAATCCTAACTAAGGCATCTGCTGGATTTGTCCCTTCCAGATGCCTTACCTCAGCTGAGGAAGGAAGCACCTAAATGTTGAAAGGCTTTAAGAAGTCAGTTTGGGAAGAACAAGCCAAGACACATCAGTGCAAGAGTGACTTGCACTCTCTCTCCAAAGAGATTGGACGTGGCCCTTAGTGCCATGATATAGTAATTGGAGTTGGATCAGGGGTTGGACTTGATGATCTTGGAGGTCTTTTCCAACCCAATCTATTCTATGATTCTATGATTCTATGATTCTATGAAAGTTGATGGTAAACTGAAACCCCAAGTGCCTCTCTCTAAACTGACAGGCATCCTTAACTTCTGCAGACATTTAAACTTTTCCTAATGACACGTCTTTCAATACCTGCCAAGAACTGTGCACCATCAAGTATTTTTCAGATATAAAAAATAACAAGATCTTGTCGGGGATGAAAGAATCCGAGAACAGAAGGGACCCTCTGTGAGTGCCCAAGAGGATGACGAGTGAATGTCAACAAAGAGGCAGGTGCCCAGCAGGGACAGAGGGTCCGTGGGGGTCAGGGTGGCCCTCGGTGTTTCCAAGCGCAGCTCCCAGGGCTGTCCGGCTCCAAACCCTCTCCTCTCCTGGCCGGAGCACCCGGGGGATGAGGAGAGATGGACGAGACACCCCTGGGAACGGAGCTGCCACCCTGGAGCGGCCGGAGACGATGGAGAGATGAAGTGAGACAGCCATGTAACGGTGTGACGTGATGCTGTGACGCAACGACTCCATCACACAGTGGTTCAACACAATACGACACGACGCACCCTCTAACAGCACAGCCGTCGGTGACGATCCGGCGATATGACGACATGACACCATGTCGTGACGCGCCCGGACGCGGCACTGCCGCACTAAGGCAGACCCGGCGACCCGTCCCCACCCCCGTCAGTCCCACGATCGCTGGGCCCGGCCGGGCTCCCCGCCAGCCCCCGACCCACCTGACCTCCTCGGCGAGCTGCTCGTCCTCCTCCTCCTCGTCCTCGTCCTCCCTGCGCCGTCGGAAGGACTTCTTGGCCGGCATCGCTGCGGCCGCCGCGACACGACAGGACAGGACACGAGAGGACACGACACGACACGGCCCCCACAGCTCAGCTCTGCTCCCGTCGCGCCGCGATGACGCCACAGCGCCGCGACGAAGCCGCGCGGCACCGCCCCCCTGCCAGCACCTTGTCCGGGCAGGAGCCGCCCGGGAGCCCCCCGTGTGCCCTCCCGGGAGCGGGGCCGGGAGCCCCCCGGGCTCTCCCTGCCTTTTCCGAGGAGCCCCTGTGTAACTCACGGGGGACGTCCCGTTCCTCGCAGCCCCGCCGGTGGCCGGTGCGTGTCAGGGGAGCGCCGGTCCCGCACCCGGGTTTACAGCCCTTGCAGCGGGCGGGACGCGGCTCCTCCAGCCCCGGCCGCCCCCCGTTCACCGAGCCGCGCTGTTGGGTGCCCCGGCTGAGCGAGGGGCCGAGCCCCCACCGCCCGGTGACGGGGGAGCCCCCGGGGCCCGCAGGGGCAGCGCCACCGCCCCTCCGCCCGGCCCGTCCCCGCCCCGGCGCAGCCCGGCCCCCGCTCCTCCCCCGGCCTGCGCGGACCCGCCGCTGCTCCGCCGGCTCCCCGCGCTGCCTGGGGCCCGCGGCCCTTCCCGGCGGCCCGGCCTGGGGCGGGGGCGGCGGCGTCCCGAGCATCCCGCAGGTGAGCGGGGAAGGCGGGCGGGGGCGGCGGGGCCGTGCGGGGGGAGGGAGGGCGGCCGGGCCCGGGATGATGCAGCAGCAGCGGCCGCAGGGCTCCGGGATCCCCGGCTTTGGGGCGGCCCTGCAGCCCCCCAGGGCCCGGTGCCTTCCCCGGGGCGACCCTTTGGGGGTTTGGAGGTTTCTGTTCAGCCTCCCTCGTGCTGAGCGGCTGTAGCGGCTGTCAGGAGGGGATTTGTGTTTTGGGGCTCTGCTGCGCTCGAGGAGCGACACAGCGAGGAAAGGGGGGAGTTCCCGGAGGTGTTTTTTCCTTAAAAGCTAAATCTCAGGGTGAGCCGTTGTGTTGTGACCTCCTGTAACAAAATCAGTGTTCAGACCTGCTCTGCTTTGCCTGTTCCACATGAACCTTCTGGCTTTCCCTGCAAACGTTCAGCAGCGAGTCAGAAGCACTTCCTTTCTGCTTTTGCCTTGTCAGTAGGGCAGTTCAGTAAGTATTTCTTTCTTTAGTATCTCAAGCATAAAATGTCGCTGAGAACAACTGCAGATACTCCGTTCTCTTGGTGGGTTATGCAAGACCAGACCTGGTAGTTTGTTTTGTGGATGAGCAGCGCAAAGATCTCTTTTGTTTGTGCAGTTACTCCACACACTGTCAGCCTGCATGGATCTGAAACTCTTGATAGCTTGGCTCTAGCTTTGGTGCAAAACCACACAGTTGTTTTATGCAAAAAAAACCCCCAAAAAACCGAAACCCAAGAAATGTGTTCCTGCAGAAGGCAGAGACGCTGGGTTTGGCAGCAATTTAAGCAACTGAAAGTAGGTTGCAGTTACGGTGGAATTGTTCTGACATGTTCGTGTGCTGTTCCTCCACAGTGGTGCTTGAGAAAGACAGGCTGAGGGACTTGTTTTAGGGTAACTTCTTTTCCCATCATCTGCAGTACGTTTTGACAGGCACAGTTCAGCTCTCTGGCAGTGCTTTCATGAAATTCCTGGTTTCTTGCGCAGCGTCAGAGCTGTGTGTGCCAGCTAAAGCTGGTAGGGCAGAGTCGTGAGAAGGCAGAGGTTGAATATTTCCTTCTGAGCAGTCACAACCCCAACCTTTTTCTGATGTGTGCTGGTCAGGGCTGAGAGGCAAAAATGAGGTTTTTTCTCTGTTTTGTTAAAAAAGAGAAGCCCTGTGTTGGGAACATCAGCACCCCAGTGCTGGAAATTCTAAAGGCATGGTTTTAATTTTGAGGAGAGGGGTGGTCCCAAGGAGAGCACTGAAGCCATCCACATCCACAAGACTGAATTAACACCGTGTGCTCCAGAACTGGTTCCTAGTTTGCTTAAGCTGGTGAAGATAAGGGGTCTGGAATTAATTTTAAACCAGTATTTTGTTCACTAGATTTTCTGGAAAACATCTGGGAAAGAGACAAGAAATCAAGGAAGGTGAAATAGCAAACGTGGCATTGATACTTTTTTTTTTTTTTAATTGGACCAGCTAAATGCATTTGGGAAAATGGGGTCGGGTTTGATGAAGAGACTCAGAGCCTGAAATGTCCCAGTTTTATGTGTTAGTCAAAGCTACCGTGCTCTTGTCACTTGTCTTTTAAATCAACATGTGTTACGTGGTGCTGTTTTCCTTCTCTGGGAAGCTGCATGGAATTGCTTCACTGTTTGTTAAGCATCTCTTGACAGGTTACAGAGATCCAGGTCAGCACCACTGTGGTGTTTTCTACCATGCACGTATGATTTCTTCCCCCTCCAGTTTTGCTTTGCTCCTTCTGTCAGTTCATTCAGTTCTGCAGAGTGCTGGGAAAACATTGTAAAATTATGCTTGAGGTTTGCCTTCTGCCAAGGCAAGGTGCTAGGCAAGCTTTTCCACTCCCAGATAAGTGTTGCTGCAATGGCTTATTCATATATCTTTTTTTTATTATTTTCTTTCCCCTGTCAGTAATTCAGACTAGATAACACTGGGAGTTCTTTCAAATGTCCTCAAAATGTGAAAAAAACCAGTGTAGCAGCCCTGGAATCATTAACATCAAGTTCATCAGATTTTTCCACTTCTTTCTTGCAGTAATGTGGCCTTTTCATATCTGCTTCATTTCCAGCCAACAGTAATATTTTTGATCCTGGTCTGTGCTATTAATATCACTTGTCTTCTTTTTTATTTTTTTTTAACAGCCGTGAGTGAGGTTATTTAAGTTGTGCTTAAGAAACACAAAGTCCTTTCATTTATTTTTTTTTTTTTATATAGCTGCATGTTACTCAGACATGTTTAAAGTCTTTTACATACCCGTGGACCACCATGAAAGTGTTTATTGTGCTCATAAGCACACAGCTATGAAATCCTCAGTTCTTGTTGTGCTTGCACATATGAGCCAGGTGGAACAGTGTGTTGTTATGTTTTGCACAGTCTCAGAGTTACGTGGCTCATAGTGTTGAAAATCTGCCTATCAAATGGTAAATTCCTCAGAGACTGTAGCCTGGTTATTGGTGTTACAGTTCATTTAAGTTTATTTCCCTCTTGCCCAGCTTCATTTAGAACTAATCATATTTTTAGTGTTTGATAAGGGAGCGTAACAGCGAAGTGTTAGATTGAGATCAGCTGGAAGACACCACAGGCTCCATGCTGGTGTCTCGGGCTGCAGTGCCCTTTCACTTCTCACCCGAGTTTCATGCAAACGAGCTAATTAGATTTGTTTCTTTGCAGCTGAAGCTGTGCCTGTGTGCCAGCACCTCCCTGCACTTCTGAAGGCACATTCCAGGACAAGGATTATTACCTTTATTTGTGTGTTTCCTTCTCCTCCCCATTGCCTTGTTCGCTTCAATGCAGCCACTCAGCACTGGGGCCAGACTGTGCCAGCTCATCTGAATGGCTCCAGATTTGGATTTGTTTCAATCTCTGAACCTTAAAGGTGGATATGTAACCTCTAATATGCAAAACATGCCCATGTATCTTCTTACAGTCTGTGAGAGCAAACCTGAGATGTAGGTAAAAGGAACTATCCTTTCTTGTCCCAGGAAAACACCCACCTTGTGTGAGCGTTGGTGAAAATGGGGGATACACGAGACATCTGTCCTCACCTGGATTCCATAGGAGAGGTGACCAGGGATGACCTGCTGCTCAAATCCAAGGTACAGGGTATTGTGATTGTTGGTCCTTTCCCTTTTAGCTGTTGTGCATGGGTTTGCATGTTTGCTTTTTGAAGAAAACGCTGCCTGTCTCCAGAGAGAGGCAAAAACTCTCCTTCCCACTGTGATCTACCCTGCACATGTCCCATAAAGTCAATCTTTATGACCCCACCTGATCTATTCCTCACTGTCATCCTGCTTAAATGTGTCACTTAGCTAAAGTGCTGCAAATTGTATATATTTGATTGGGAGTGTGGTATTAAGGAATGAAATACTGTGAGCTGCAGGTTGGCAAGGGCTGCCTCACAGAGAAGTTTCCCACTCTTAAAGGATTCAGTTACTTAAAAAACAACCAAGCAAACAAACCTTCTTTTGTCATGAATATGCAGGGAACTTGCCAGTCTTGTGGAGCTGTGGGACCAAACCTCTGGGCTTGTCTTCAGGTAAAAATGGCTTCTTATTTGTGTACATGATGTGGTGGAACTTCACTTGAATAGTAGGAAGCAAAGAGGGGGTTGACAGTGGAACCATCTATGTTTTTTTATGGATTCCAAGGAGGAGACTCCCTAGATGAAAGGGCAATGCTGTCAGAATCTGCCAAGATGTAACAGTTCACTCCTTGTAGGGAATTGCCCCTGCAATTCCCAGTAGGAATCAATAAAATGCCCAGTGTTGACTGTGAGCTGCCTCTGCTGGCACCTGTGAAGGGGCTGCAGGGTGACAACTTGGCAGATGTTGCTCAGGGCAGTGAGGAGGGAGGGAATGCCACGGGACACGTGGGTGGGAAGGGGCAGTTTATTTCTACACTGGAATCCCCGTGAGGTTTGAGGCTCCTCAGAGGAGCTGCCTGTTGGAGCAATGACCTTGGAACAGAGCCTTTATCTGGGTCCAAACCTGGTTCCAGGTTTCCTTTCTTAAATCACTTCTAAATTCCCATGAATTCTAAATTTCCATCTTGTTCTGAGCCCTTAATAAAAAGCAGGTTAGAAAACTGGCAAGATAATTCTGAAGTTGCTGCTGGTGGGACTGGAGTTGCAGACTGTTTTGTGAAGGCTCTAATTTGATGTGCCTGTTGTGTTTTGGCTCTTTTCCCTCTCCAGACTGGTTGTCCTTATGTTGGTTGTGGGGAGTCCTTTGCTGACCACAGCACACTTCATGCACAGGTGAGCTTTCCTCTGTCATCCACATTTAGACAAGACACAGTTGGATTTTTTCCCCCGTTCCTCGCTCTGGTAGTCCTGTGCTTCAAACTGCACAGAGCTGTCAGAGGAGACCCCCTTCATTTCATCTCTTTAATTCTTAGGCCAAAAAGCACAACCTGA